CGGATGTGTGGCACGGCTACCATCGCACCCAATGGGTGCGACGGTAAACAGGCGGATGTGTGGCACGGCTACCATCGTACCCAATGGGTGCGATGGTAAACAGGCGGATGTGTGGCGCGGCTACCATCATACCCAATGGGTGCGATGGTAAACAGGCGGATGTGTGGCACGGCTACCATCGTACCCAATGGGTGCGATGGTAAACAGGCGGATGTGTGGCGCGGCTACCATCGTACCCAATGGGTGCGATGGTAAACAGGCGGATGTGTGGCACGGCTACCATCGTACCCAATGGGTGCGATGGTAAACAGGCGGATGTGTGGCGTGGCTACCATCGTACCCAATGGGTGTGATGGTAAACAGGCGGATGTGTGGCATGGCTACCATCGTACCCAATGGGTGCGATGGTAAACAGGCGGATGTGTGGCGCGGCTACCATCGTACCCAATGGGTGCAATGGTAAACAGGCGGATGTGTGGCGCGGCTACCATCGTACCCAATGGGTGTGATGGTAAACAGGCGGATGTGTGGCGCGGCTACCATCGCACCCAATGGGTGCCACGGTAAACAGGCGGATGTGTGGTACGGCTACCATCGCACCCAATGGGTGCGATGGTAAACAGGCGGATGTGTGGGGCGGCTACCATCGCACCCAATGGGTGCGATGGTAAACAGGCGGATGTGTGGTACGGCTACCATCGCACCCAATGGGTGCGATGGTAAACAGGCGGATGTGTGGCGCGGCTACCATCCCACCCAATGGGTGCGACGGTAAACAGACGGATGTGTGGTACGGCTACCATCACACCCAATGGGTGCGATGGTAAACAGGCGGATGTGTGGGGCGGCTACCATCGCACCCAATGGGTGCGATGGTAAACAGGCGGATGTGTGCGACGGCTACCATCGCACCCAATGGGTGCGATGGTAAACAGGCGGATGTGCGGTGCGGCTACCATCGCACCCAATGGGTGCGATGGTAAACAGGCGGATGTTTGGCGCGGCTACCATCGCACCCAATGGGTGCGATGGTAAACAGGCGGATGTGGCGCGGCGCGGCTACCATCGCACCCAATGGGTGCGATGGTAAACAGGCGGATGTGCGGTACGGCTACCATCGCACCCAATGGGTGCGACGGTAAACAGGCGGATGTGTGGCACGGCTACCATCGCACCCAATGGGTGCGACGGTAAACAGGCGGATGTGTGGCGCGGGACGGCTACCATCGCACCCAATGGGTGCGATGGTAAACAGGCGGATGTGTGGGGCGGCTACCATCGCACCCAATGGGTGCGATGGTAAACAGGCGGATGTGTGGCACGGCTACCATCGCACCCAATGGGTGCGATGGTAAACAGGCGGATGTGTGGTGCGGCTACCATCGCACCCAATGGGTGCGATGGTAAACAGGCGGATGTGTGGCGCGGCTACCATCGCACCCAATGGGTGCGATGGTAAACAGGCGGATGTGCGGGACGGCTACCATCGCACCCAATGGGTGCGATGGTAAACAGGCGGATGTGTGGCGCGGCTACCATCGTACCCAATGGGTGCGATGGTAAACAGGCGGATGTGTGGCGCGGGCGGCTACCATCGCACCCAATGGGTGCGATGGTAAACAGGCGGATGTGTGGCGCGGCTACCATCGTACCCAATGGGTGCGATGGTAAACAGGCGGATGTGAGGTACAGCTACTATCGCACCCAATGGGTGCGACGGTAAACAGGCGGATGTGCGGTACGGCTACCATCGCACCCAATGGGTGCGACGGTAAACAGGCGGATGTGTGGCGCGGCTACCATCGCACCCAATGGGTGCGACGGTAAACAGGCGGATGTGTGGCGGACGGCTACCATCGCACCCAATGGGTGCGATGGTAAACAGGCGGATGTGTGGCGCGGCTACCATCGTACCCAATGGGTGCGATGGTAAACAGGCGGATGTGTGGCGCGGCTACCATCGTACCCAATGGGTGCGATGGTAAACAGGCGGATGTGAGGTACAGCTACTATCGCACCCAATGGGTGCGACGGTAAACAGGCGGATGTGCGGTACGGCTACCATCGCACCCAATGGGTGCGACGGTAAACAGGCGGATGTGTGGCGCGGCTACCATCGCACCCAATGGGTGCGATGGTAAACAGGCGGATGTGTGGCGCAGCTACCATCGTACCCAATGGGTGCGATGGTAAACAGGCGGATGTGTGGCGCGGCTACCATCGTACCCAATGGGTGCGATGGTAAACAGGCGGATGTGAGGTACAGCTACTATCGCACCCAATGGGTGCGACGGTAAACAGGCGGATGTGCGGTACGGCTACCATCGCACCCAATGGGTGCGACGGTAAACAGGCGGATGTTTGGCGCGGCTACCATCGCACCCAATGGGTGCGACGGTAAACAGGCGGATGTGCGGGACGGCTACCATCGCACCCAATGGGTGCGATGGTAAACAGGCGGATGTGCGGTACGGCTTCC